AAACCAAAATTCAACCCCCTATTTAATCAATTTCGTATTCTACTTTTGATTTTATTTTTTAGTGTGCAATTGATTAAATTGAACCAATCATCTACGGAAATGACCCTTGCTTGCCATGTTACTCTTCAAAACGACGTATCTCTTTAAACACATTTAAAGCTACGTAAGGAAAATTAGTTAGTACGTCATTTGGAACGTATCACTAATGGGCAATCTCAATGCGACATAACAACACACTCTACTACACTATCAACCCCACCAATAGAGGCATTATCTCCACCATCACGTCCAACTACCATTATGTCTAACCCAAACATACAACCCACATCAATTTCCACCTCTCGACATCCTACCCACTCAATGACCACAAGAGCTAAAAATAACATCCACAAACCCACACAAAAATTAAACATTTCCACCCAAATATCCTCCACCACAGTCATTGAACCCTCCATAGCCATTCAAGCACTCAAGGATCCAAAATGGCGTAGGGCCATGTTTGAGGAATATGATGTTCTTGTTCGGAATGGAACATGGGAGCTAGTACCATCTATTTCTAGTCACAATGTAGTTGGTTGTAAGTGGATTTTTCGCATTAAAAGAAAATCTGATTGTTCTATTGACAGGTACAAAGCACGTTTGGTTGCAAAAGGTTTTTATCAACAACCAGGAGTAGATTATCATGATACGTTTAGCCCTGTAGTCAAGCCAACAACTACAAGACTTATTCTTAGTCTTGCTATAAATAGAGGATGGTCTATTCGCCAACTGAATGTTAATAATGCATTCTTACAAGGTTATCTCTCCGAAGATGTTTATATGTCTCAACCACCTGGTTTTGTTGATCCCGATAATCCGTCTTATGTTTGCAAGCTCTGAAAAGCCATTTACGGGCTTAAACAAGCCCTACGAGCTTAGGATACTGCACTTCGTAAATTTCTACTTGCATCAGGATTCCGAAACTCACATGCTAATACTTCTTTGTTTGTTCTCAAAACTGGTGGTCTTTTGTAGCGCCCCGACCCGCATGGGTCGAAACGTTACAAGACTCGCTTTACTTTAGTCGTAAACTTAATAAGTTACGATACCTTAAGCGGAGAGTATAAAATTTTAATTTAAGAATTTAATTGAAGACTTATTTAATTCTGTACAACATAATTTCAATACTAGAACCACATAAAAAAAATGTTTTAGAATGATTCCCATGCATGTATCCATTTACTGACATGAAG